AAGCAGTTTTCAAAGGCAGAAATCAAAGCTATCAACACCCATGTGAAAAAATATTCCAAATAACTAATAAAGAAGTGCAAATCAAAGCAACTCTTAGGTTCTATCTCACAGCTATTAGATCAGCAAAGATGACGGATAGAAAGGCTCTGAGAAAACAGGCATACATCTTCTTTCTTAATTGGCCCAGCCAATTGCTCATGGAAGGCAATTTGGAATTATGCTCAGAAAGTTACCAATAACTGTTATGAAACCTTTGACCCAACAATATCACCAAAAGATCCAAAGAGATCAGCAAAAGAACAAAAGGTCTCATGTGTGCAAGGATATTTCTAGTAGTTCTTTATATAGTAACCAAAAACTGAAACTAAGAGTAGTACCCACCTATTGATGGCTACCAAATTTTGGTAAGGTAATAGAATATTATTGTGCCATAAGAAATAGCAAGGTAGTTTCACAGTAAACTGGGAAGACCTCTGAACTGATGTAGAGTAAAGTTAGCAGAACCCAGGATTTATACATGATAATCACATTATAGAGAAATATAATTTTGAAAGACTTTAGAACTCAGATCAATGCAGTCATAAGCGACAGATCCCAAGAACTCATCCTGCCAAATGAGTTTTACTTCCTTGTTAAACAGGAAATTTTTCTTCTATCTATCCTGTCCTCTCTGTGATCTTCCTATGGTCCCCAACATAACTAACGAAGCCCTTTTTGTTGTCCTTACCATTCATTCCCAGCCTTAGCTTTGTTTGGAGGTTTACCATTTGAGACATTATTCCTACAGGACTGTTCCACTCTTGTATTCCTCATCTGTTATCTAGCTTCAATTCCATTTTCTTTCCATGCCATTTGAAAACCTAGGTTGGTCGGTGAATTACCTGTGTATCTATATTAATCACTTTGGATAACTATTTTTCCTCCTTTCCTCTCCCCATCTTCCCACCATCCCACCCCCAACCAGTTCTTCCTTGAAATCATTCACATGTATATTACAAAAGTGATTTCCTTGTTAGCAGGATCCCATTTCCTTTGGACTTTCTTCTCGTGCAGATTTAAAGCTATGAGAACATAATTCTACTTTTTTTTCCCTGAATTTTTTGAAATCCATGCTTCCTACATCCAGGATGTACATTAGACCATACCCAGCTTTCCCTTCCCTGTCACAGACTTAAAGATGAAGTTATTTGCTTCCTCTTAAAGTTCTTGTTACACTCACTTTGCTGCCAGTTAGTTCCTCTAGAATGGAAATTCCCTTTTTTACTTCATATATCTCTCATATGAAATTACTATTAAAGCAAGTCAGGAACTTATCAGCTGCTCTCATTTTGGCAGAGAGAGATCCAGCAGGTGTCCAGATAGCTGAAGCATCCAGTCGTTGCTGTTTCCTGAGTCAGTTACCCATTTCTTTCTCCTTGCTGGCTAAATCTGTAGTTTATTTGTATCCTATTACTTTTTTTTTTCTCCTTTCATTTATCCACATGCAAATACTCTTTGACATGCTTCTCTCCAGTTTGTGAATTTGGTCTCTCCCCTTAGGGTTCTAGGGGTAATCCTGAGTATTTGCAACTTCTGCCACTATACAGAGCCTCCATCTAATATACTTTCCCCAATTTTGACTATCCAGTTTATATCAAAGAGATTTTTCCAAAGGGATTATTTACTAAGATTAAAAAATTCATCTTCACCCAAATGAGAAACCCACTCTTTTCTTTGCACACCCTTAGTTTCTTGGGAGAATGAGCTCAAACTTAGATCACAAAGTTAATTCCCTACGTCATGTAGGGAACACATATGACTGAAGGGTATCTCCTGGCCCTAGAAGTCTTCTACATGGAATACCCACTAAGTTCATTTTTGAGAGTTGCTAAAATGTATGAGTCATTCTCTTACTAGTCTGAGCTAGCTTCTTGTAAGATTTAATATCTCTGTTGCCAGGTCAGTTCACTGCTGGGTTTGAGTCAAGCAGGTCAATCTCTGCAGTTAGCCCATCACTAAACTCAGCTACTACAGCCACTGGCTTCAATGATCTTTGCTACCAGTTCTGGCTATGGAAGGAACCTCTGATAAAACTCTTCTGATCTTTTGGAGTTCGTAAGGTGATAGTCCTAGTCTATTCCATCTCTAGATACTCATTTACCAATGATTGGGAAAGAATAACCTAACTTACTTTCTCTCTCTCTCTCTCTCTCTCTCTCTCTCTCTCTCTCTCTCTTCTCTCCTCTCTCTCTCTCTCTCTCTCTTCCTCTCTTTCTCTCTTTCACACACACACACCCAAGCTTGGTGCATTCAAAGACACATGATTCCCATGTGTGGAAATTATGCAGCTACTGCCTCTTCCCCTCCCAACTCAGGTGCTCACATTTTTTTCTTCCTTTGAAAGCCACCAGAGAAGACAGAAGTGCAGTAAGACCAGAGAGGCTATTCTGTCATTTTGTGTGTGAACTCTGTTCCAGTTCTGTCATCAGTTTTTCTGTCTCAGAAGAAAATTTGAAAACTCGCCATGATGCAGCACCATCCCATCAGTTACTCTTGTCTGGAAGAAGGCTTACCAAGCCTTCCTGTGTTGAACTTATGGCAAGCAAAGACTATTGTAAATACACTAAGAACTGGGCCCCCATTGGCCCAGTCTCCTCTTACACTAAAAAAGACAGAGAAATATGGAGGGAAAATGACTAAATGTGGCAGAACTTAAGGTACACTTGCAAAGGGAATAAAAACAAAAGCACTTTTTTGCTTATTTGTTCATTTGTTTCTGCCTTCTGGGAATAGGTTTTGGGTAATATACATTACCTTATTTTTTATGTTTATTTTTGTTGATTGTTATTTTGTTTATAATAAAAAATTAACATATGTTCTTGCATTAAAATTTTTAGTATACTTTATTATCCCATACTTTGTGTATTTTTATATAAATATCCAAAGCCCTAAGTTTTATTACTAATCCTTCTTGTAGATGTTATCTCCTATAAATTACAGGTATTTTTCACTGATATTTTTTCTGTATCATAACATGCTACTCTGCTTCTGGTATAATGGATGTATGTGGAAAATTTCCTCTTTTCTCCCCATTTTCTACTTAAAGCCTTCCTGAACAGATTTTTACTGTCTAGCATTAGATGCATTCCCTCTTTGGCCAAGAGCCAGTCATCTCTCCATCTTAAGCTGTGATCCAGAAATCTGAATCCTGTGCTTGGACAGCATCATCTTTGCCAGTTGTTCACTCCGCACATCTTCTTTTCATTTCTAAAATGCTTACCTTTAATCACGGTGCCAAGTTCTTCATTTCCTCGCTAAGAATTTTATAATCCCTGTCAATGCTTTTGAAGTCCCTTTTGTGGATCTCATTTATCGCCAGGTGATTAACCAGAGGTAGGTATTTTTGGTGATTAGGTCTGATAGGTCTTAGTAAGCAGCCCCTCTGTAATGTCAAAGATACGGTAAGATGAGACAGCGCGTAACTTCCTCATTGCCTACCAGCAGAGAATCATCCAAACTCATCTCTTCCTCCTCTGACCGTCTCCTCATAGAATCGGTATCCTCATCATCATTCTTCAGACTTCTTCCAAGGGTCCAGTTCTACCCTCGCAGGTTTATACCGCTGTATAATCTGGTTCCCACTTACTTTTGTAGCTGTCGTTCCTATTGTTTCCCTTCACCCATCCTGTTCTAATCAAACTGGCCCACTAGTACCGTTCCCCACAAACAGCAATCAATCTTCCTCTATTTGGCGTTGGCCAAATGCTTCCTCCACATTTGGAATGTCCTCCTTTCTCAGTTCCATCTCTCAGATTCCTGAAGCTCTTCCAACGCCCAGCTGAGGGTCCAGTCCCTCCAGGAAGTCTTTCAGATCCCCCCAGTGGTGGTTCCCCTCTCCCTCTTGAAATTGCTTCAGATGTACTTGGCATTTACGTGTGTGTATGTGGTGTTCCCTCAGTTGAAATGAGCTTCTTGAGTGCAGGATCTGCTCGGTTGCTGTCTTTAGATCTCCAACACCTAGCATAGCACCTTACACTGGTAAATGTTTATTGGATTGAATTGTCACTCCATACTTATTCTTCCAAACTCCTAGTAGGTTTTCTGCTGCTGCTGCTTCTCGTTCCTCTTTGTTTTCTTCTTGAAGTACTTCTACATTCTTTAAGGCAACAAGCCAGTCTCCCTAATAAGCCAGAGAGTAAAAGAAGTCTCCATGCAATTCTTTTGCCCTCCCCTCTAGTTTAAAAACACACACGGTTGTTACTTGCCATTAACAAAAACACAGATAGAAAAGTAGCATGATTTCTCATAATTGAGGTGCATGAGAAAAAGGACGTATAAACATGGAGGGAAAGGATGGTAAGAATGAGCCTCAAATGAAGGAAAAGGAAGGGAAGGAATAAACACTTCTGGTCGCATCTCCTTTGTGTAAGGCACTGTATCTTATTTGATAAACTTATATTTTATCAGAAATGGACAAAGGAAGGTTGAATACACATACACAAAATGTGTAATTCAGAGGATCTTGGGGAGTATGAACTGGCACAAAGTGAACTTAGTAGAACCAGGAGATTAATTTATGCAAGGACAATAATATTATAAAGAAAAGCAACTTTGAAAGACTTCACTGTGTTCAAAACTGATCAACTGTGATGGGACCAGTGATGAAACATTACCCCATCTATCCCTACCCAAAATTCCGTCTATCCAGCTCTCAAGATTAGCTCAGTCATAAAGTGTTTCCCTACCACTCATATCCAGTTTGATTCCTGCTTGTTTAGTATTTGCCTGTATTGTTTATTTTGACACTTAAGTCATAGATATGGTTATATTTTGTGCAGTTATGTCTTATCTCACCAGTTCAGTTGTGAGCTTCTGAAATATAGGAGTGCTATCTTACCTTTCTTTTATATCACCCCTTAGCAGCTAGTACAGTGTTATCACCACAGTAGTCTCTTAACAAAAATGTAAAGTAAATTAAATGGTAGAGGGAAGAGCTGAGCCCCACATGCTTTTGATTGCAGGTGCCAGTGACGTTTGATGATGTCTCCATCTACTTTTCTACGCCAGAATGGGAGAAGTTAGAAGAATGGCAGAAGGAACTTTACAAGAACATAATGAAGGGCAACTATGAGTCTCTTATATCAATGGGTGAGACTGAGCTGGCTTCTGTCACACTAATGGTACACAGCTTCAAGTGAGCTCAGCAGTCTTGTTCATTGCCCCATTCCTAACTTCCCATTCTCACTCCTTCTGGATTCTAGGCCTGAAACACAGAAAATGTACCTTCTCCTCAGTCTTTTCCTCCCATGCACATAGAGTCACTATAAAAGCTATGGTTCCCTTGGTGTATCCCTCCCTCCTTAACATCAGATGATAGGAGCATGATCTAGGGACAGAGGTTAAATTTGAAACTGCATGGGGTAAATATGACAGCTGCAGTGGTTGTCCAAGACACTGTTCTCTCCAGAAGCTACTGCTGCCACTTACCCCTACCCAGTGAAGTTAGGATACATTTTGGAAAAGAGCTGATTAATTTATAGGTGTAGTAGGGATAAGGACTATATAAGGAGTCTCTAGTTACATGGGCCCATATGCCTTCAGCTTAGAATTAATGCCATCTTCATCCCCATTTACTTTTACTTTCTTTTCTCTCCCCTTTGTTCTCTAGACTATGCCATGACACAACCTGAAGTTTTGTCCCAAACTCAACCAGAGTCACAACAGAATACAGAGAACCAAGTGAGACCAGATGAGAGTGAGATGACTGCAGAGCCCAGCGATGGTGAGTAGAAAAGATCACATCACATTTTTTCACTACCCCAGGCTGTCTTACACTCCTAGGATTTGATGACAGCCTAGCAGTTAAAGATATTAATGATTTCTAATTTCAGTTTTGTCACTGACTTTGGTTACAAAGTTGTTCTATCTTTTTGGCTAGGCAGTGGGGTTAAGTGATTTGGCCAGGGTTACAAAGCTAGTGTTATGTGTCTGAGGCTGGATTTGAACCTGAATCCAGGTCTGCTGCTCTATCAACTGCACCATCGAGCTGCCCCTTCTATCTTTCATTAATCATTCAATCAGTGGGCATTATACCTACTATGTGCCAGATACCTGAGTAGGTACTGGAAATACAAATGGAAAGATGAAACGACCTCTGTCCTTGTGGAGCTTATAATATAACCAGAGGAGTCAGCATGTGCATATCTAGATATGTGCAGAATAGATAAAAGGTAATGTGGTGGCAAGGAGAGGTGTTAGCAGCTGAGCAGACTTCATGTAAAAGATGGTACTTGAGCTGCCCCTTAAAGGAAAATAGGAATTCTATGAGGCAGAAATGAAGAAGACATACATTCCAGGTGTGGAAATAGCTGATTATATGTCATTTATGACAAATAGCAAAAAGGCCATTTTGGTTAGAATATTGTGTCATGGTAGGGAAGAGGGGTGGCAGGGGCAGTGGGGGGGCAGAGCTGCTGGCATACTATAAGGCTGGCAGGAAAGATAAGTGAGGTCCACATTTTGAAGGGCTTTAAATGCTGTAGGATTTTATATTTGATCTTAGAGGTAATGGGGAGTCCCTGGGATTTATTGAGTAAGTTATGGCCATGGTTAGATCTATGCTTTAGGACAATGACGTTGGCACTTTCATGAAGAATGGATCTGAGTGGAGAGAAATTTGAGACCTAGATCAATTATAGAAGCTGTTTGATACCCTAGGCAAGTAATGAGGACCTAAACTAGGGTGATGGCTTTGTAAATAGAAGGAAATGAATTCAAGAGATATTTTAGAGGTAGAAATGATGTATGGGTGAGTGAGAATGAGGGGTCAAGGTTGACACCAAGGCAAGAAGAACTATTAACAGAATCTTCTTGTGGTCTCCTAACTTTGAGGTTCTCACTTTAGTGATTGAGCAAAATCAACAGTGTTAATTAATCCCTTAGGTTTTCACAGTTTTTTATCTATCTCTTACCTCATTTAATGTCTTTTCTTTCTCCTTTCAGTCTTCTTTGATTCCCTTGTCTCTTTCTTTTTCCCATCTCCTTTCCCCTCTTTATAACAGCAAACCTTTGTTCTTTTCAGACTAACCCCATTCCCAGTATAGCCTGTGGGGCCTCGGTCTTACCCAACTTTCTCTTTCCTTTGGACAGGCTATATTACATTTTGAAAGGATTGTGCTTCTCAAAAGCACTTGACCAAACAGAGTGCTGCTGATGATAAGAGTAAAGACAGAACCTCACTGTGAGGCTTTGTTTAGTCATTTTCCCTCTGAGTATGCACAGCTACAGATGAGCTAGACTAAGGGACTCCGAGCTTGCCCCTCTCAAAGCTAGATGGGATTGTTAAGGTTAGCCAGTATAATCCCTTGTATAGCAGATGAGGAAGCTGAGAACCAAAGGGGAAAGTGTTCACCCAAGGTCATATAGGTAATAAGTAGCAGAACCAAGTCTCTAACCCAGGTCTGATGGCTCCATGTTCAGAGCTTTTTCCCAGTGGACTAGAAGTCAGCAGAAGACTTTAGAGAACTAGACCTTCTTTAGGACTTTACCTCGAACAGGGTAAAGCAGGGTAATTCTGGGCATTTCGGCCTCTCTGAGCCATCTGTTTCTCCCCTCTAATCTCAGAGGATCGTGGCTGTCTCTTTCTCAACAAAACCAACTCCTTCCATTCATGCCCTTGAATCCATCTCTTTCATCTACTGTGAGATCTTAGTCCATCTGTCATTGCCTCTCATCTTCAGTATCTCCCCACCTAATGGCTCCTTCTTCTGCTTTTAACATACTCATCACTTTTTTTTTTACCCAGACCTTTGACTTCATCAGGTAGGGAGCTCGAATTGAAGAACTTCCTTTACCAATGCAGATAAGCTCCTTCTGGTTCCATTTAGAGAATTTCATAGAACAGAGATTTTAGTTAAAGGGCTTGGTCAGGATTCATTGTTGGTGGAGGTGTAAATTAGTGTAACTATTCTACAAAGCTTTTTGGAATTATGGAAAAAAAAAAGTGACCAAAATGTTCATACCCTTGAACCTGAGTTCTGTTGCTAGACATACTCCAAGGAGGTTACTGACAAAAAGAAAAGTTTCATATACACCAAAACATTTATAGCAACAATTTTTGTGTTAGTAAAAAGCAAAAAGAAGCAAAGTAGATGCCCATCAATTGGGAAATGGCTAAACAAATTTTAGTATATGAATGTAATGGAATATTACAATTAAATGATGAATATAATGAATACAGAGAAATATGGGAAGACTTAACATGAACTAATACAAAGGGAAGTAAGCTGAGTCCCAAAAAACAACACACACACGATGACTACAATAATGTAAATGAAATAAACAACCACAAAACAATCAAAAGTGAAAGTTGTAAAATTACAAAAAACAAGCATGTCTGTAAAGAAGAGATATTGAACGACACCCTCACCCTACTCCTTTACAGAGGTGGGAAGTCCACAAATATGGTACTGTGCACATATTTTCATGCCTTTTCTATATAATGATCAGTTACTGGGGGTTTTTTTCTTTAAAAATATTATTTGTTATATAAAATTGCTTTCTGGGAGTGGGAGGAATTCCAGGGGAAATTTTGGTAATATGAAAAATACATATATTTATTTTAAAAGAAAACAAATATTGCAAAATTCCAAAGAACAAACTTGGCCTCAAAGAAGGGGAAAGATGGGAGGAGGGGTCCCCAGATATGGAGCTTTGTTATGAGGCATGGCTGCCTGGGAGAGGGGAGGGAGGAAGGAGAGGAATACAAGGGGAAATTTAGGCAAAATTTATACAAAAACAAAAGATCAATAAAAATGTATTTAGAAAAAAAACAAATCAAGCTATTTACTTAAAAAGGACTTGCCCAGGGTCACACAACTAGTTTGTGTTGAGGGTGGCACTTTAAACCAGGTCATCTTGACTGTGAGGACTATTTTCTATCCTGTACACTAGAGGTTAGACTTGAGCTTTGGAACCAGATTAAAATGTAATTGGGAAATGCTTAACAAAATAAATAAAAATACGTCACAACATAGATAATGTTAGTCTGTAGTCTTCTAAATCAATATGCAACTGGCAGACATCCCTTTCCATTTGAGTTTGACACCATTGCTCTGTACCATGTGTTCCCTCTCACCCAAATCAGCCTTATCCTAAAAAAAAAAAAGTACTCTGCCTTGATGCTGCTACCTCCTCAAACTGTTGTCTTATATCTTTCTTCCCTTTCACTGCGAAATTTCTAGAAAAAAAGTAAAATCATTGTCTCCTCTTCAAGACCAACCCTCTCTACAGTTTTCTGGAGTTTGGTTTCTACTCCTACTCTTAGTTTCCAAATCCAGTGACTTTTTCTTAGGCCTCGTGTTTCTTGACTCTTCTGCAGCATTTGATACTGTTGACTACTCCCTCAATACTCTTTTTCCCTTTGGACTTCCATGACATTGTTCTTTCTAGTTTTTCTCCTACCTGTCTACTCTTTCTCACTCTTCATTTTTTCATCTGTCAACTATCCCCTAAATGTTGGTGTCCTCAGCTATCTTCTCTTGTATGTTTATTTTATCTCCCTTACTGATTTCATCCAGTCTTATAATTTTACTTATGACTTCTATAAAATGACTCATATTTGTACATCAATTCATAATCTCTCTCCTGATGTCTAGTTGAACATTGCCTTCTGGATCTCTCTATCTGAATGTTTCTGAGCACCTTTAGTTCAGCATCAAAATTGAATTATCATCATTTCCCCAAAACTTCCTCTTTCTCTTAACTTTCCTAATTCCATTGATGTAACCATTATCCTTCCAGTCATTCAAGCTGGAAAACACGGTCATCTTTGACTGTTCCCTCTTTCCCAAATCCTATGTCCAACCAAGTGACCTGGTTGATTCTTCCTTAGTAATGTCTTGTTTTGGACCTCTCCTCTTCATTCCTGCCACCACCACTCTAGTGTAGATCCTCATCACCACTAGCATTGACAATTATAATAATCACCTACAGGTCCCACCTTTCCAATGCATCCTTCACATAATGACCAAATCAATCATCCTAATGAATAGGTATGATTACACTATTCTCCTACTGAAAAACTATCAAAGGCTCCATGTTATATCTTGAATCACATACAAACTTCTTACTTAGCCTGGCATTTAAAACCCTCCACAATCTGACCATAACATGCTTTCCCAACCTTGTTTCACATTGACTGCCTTCACACACTATACATTTTAGTTAAACCAGACGTGTTGTCTTATCTTTCCTTGTTCTCTCCTGCCTGTCTCCATCCATGTAAGCCATCCCTTATGCTTGGAATTCCCTTGATGTCCATCTCTGCTTATAGAATTCCTCCTTTTTCTTTAGTGCCTAGCTGAGGTGATACCTCTTCCATGAAGCCTGTGATGATTCCCATCTCCTCCTAACCACTATTATCCTCGCCTTTTTCCGCTGGAAAGTGATCTCTTGCAACACTTTGTATTTATCTTTCCTTTTTCTTTATCATATTCTATCCTGTATCATATTTATTTATTTACTTGTCTTTCCCTAGTATAGTGTAAGATCCTTGAGGCCTGGGACTGTATCATTTTTTATCTTTATAGCCATAATACATAACATAGTGCTTTACACTTAACAAATTATGTTTGTTATGTTACATTAAGAGTCTTTGCTTTTTCTGCATTATAGCACAATTGTGAGAGGAAAAGAGAATTAAGATAAAAGCAATTTAAAGGTAAATGTTCAATAGAAATAGAGGACACATTGTTAAATCACTTTAGGGCATCTCCAGTGCAGAGACTGTGACTTATTTATCAAGCGTTTTGTTTACTGCTTAGTTACAAATGACTATTTGGGTTGTTTGAAATTAAATTAGTGTGTTTAATTCTGGTTTTTGGTTCCAGATTCCGTTCCATTCCCTAGTAGAAACTCAAAAGAAAATATTCTGCTTCTCTTTTCCCACAAACAGAGCCAGGCATTTCCACATCAGACATTCTGTCCTGGATTAAACAAGAAGACGACCCTCAGGTGGAAGGTCCACAGGACCCTGAGGAAAGTGACATTTACAAAGGCACCTATGCTGGTGAGTGATAGAGCAGATACAGAGCCCTGCCTTCTGCATTGTGCAGTAGAGAAACTCAGTCTTGACAGGAGCCCAAAAAAAAAAAGGCAAAATGAACACTAGGAAAACCATGGAAGTGAATGAGGTTCATTACAGGGGTTTGGAGGGAAGGAGGGAGTGAAGAAAGGAGAGCAGCCCTATTAGATCAGAAGATTTATGGTGGGGAAGAGTTGGAAGAGCAGATGAGGATGGTGGGATGAGGCTGGATCATTAGGTGAAAGGGAGCGAGGGAAAGTTGTGGAGCAGGGCAGTGACATGATGAAAGCAATGTCTTAGGAAAATTTAATTTAAAACTTTGCTTTTTCCCATCCCCTATCTCAAACCAGGGAATATCATAATGCAGAGATAACACCTTAGATTCCTGGATTCTTACCTCAGAACTTCACTGAACTGTTTCTGTTCCTTTGAACTAATCACTTCCCTGTACAATCACAGTGAATAAAAGCACAGAGCAATCTGTAAAAACCAGGTAGAATGTAGCTGCTACTTTGTGGTGAGAACTGCTAACAAAGCAGTTTCTGTGTTGTATAACAACCCTAGTCCTCTCTTTCAGATGATGAGCTTGCTATCAAAGCCGAAGGGCTTGCTGGAGGCCCTCTGTGTTCAGATGCCCAGGTTACCTCTGCCAATCCTCCAGCAGTGTCAAAAGATGCTTTCCAGGATGCAGCTTTCAAGAGCCAGCATCCTCCACCCATACTACCCTCTGGACCTCCACTTAATAACCCCATTGACCCCCTGGGGGGACAGGCTAGTTTCACCCAGATGGCCAACCTTCCTCTTCCCACCCAGTCAGGGGAACAACAGCAACTCTTCCCTTGTCGTCGTTGTGGCAAGAATTTTAATCAGAAGGAAATGCTGATGGACCACCAGAGTAGTCATGCTGGTGAGCGTCCCTTTGCGTGTGCCCAGTGTCCTAAGCGCTTTGCCCAACAGGCCAACCTCAGCAATCATGCCCGAGTGCACACAACTGAGCGGGCCCATACCTGCCCACATTGCTCCAAGAGTTTTGTGCACCCCTCTCGACTTACATACCACCTGCGAGTCCACAGTGGTGACCGGCCCTTTCCATGTCCAGAATGCCCCAAGCGTTTTACTGACCAGTCTCGGCTCACCAGCCACCGACGTGGCCACTCTGGGGAGCGCCCATTTCGCTGTGCGCAGTGTGGTCGGAGCTTCAGCCTAAAGATTAGTCTTCTGCTGCACCAGCGGGGCCATGCCCAGGAGCGCCCCTTCTCCTGCCCACAGTGTGGCATCGACTTCAATGGCCACTCAGCACTGATCCGCCACCAAATGATCCACACAGGTGAGCGGCCCTACCAATGTGGTGACTGTGGCAAGAGCTTCATGCGTAAGGAGCACCTGCTGAATCACCAACGGTTGCACACAGGCGAGCGTCCCTTCCACTGTGCCCACTGTGGCAAAAGCTTCATTCGTAAGCACCACCTGATGAAGCACCAGCGCATCCACACAGGTGAGAGGCCCTACCCTTGTCCCTGCTGTGGCAAGAGCTTCCGCTACAAACAGACGCTTAAGGATCATTTGCGAGCAGGCCAGGATGGAAGTTGTAGTGGTGATGGAGATGTACCAGGGCAGCCGCCAGATCCCCCTGGCCTCCTCCTACCAGGGCTTGAGCCCACAGGCCTAGGGATTGGAGCTGATGGCCTAGAAACCAACCACTGGTATGGAGAGGGGGGTGGAGGGAGTGTTTTGTAAATCCTTCATCTCTTGTTTATCCAGTAAGTGGAGAATCCCAAAGACAGGGAACCCAAGATCATTTTAAACTGGCTCTTCAGTGCATTTTGGGCATCATACATCTAACTAGGGACATACCTGGTTGTTTGGAACTTCACAATATTGCAAATAATGAAGATACATTGTGAAATTTGGAGGACCTTGAGAAGAGTCCACCCACCCTGTCCTTATAAAGGAATTACATGAGCTGAAGAGGTGATAATGTTGCAGAGGCCGAAAGCAAGAAATTGGTAAATCACTGGCAGATAATCCAAGTTATTTGTAGGTTGAAGTTCAGGGGAGGGGCAGGTGGCTTGGGAAAACCTCTAAAACTTGATACTTTCCCTATACTATGAAGTTGATAGGACATTGAGGCTTTTCCCTAACTCCTGGGTGGGTGAGGTGGTTGTGAGAAGGGGAGAGCTGGGCACAGAGCTGCCAGATGGGGACTGATGCTCTTTCCTCCTGGTTCCAGCTTAGACCCACGTACTTGCACTCCTGCTTATCTTCCCTGAAATAGACCCAGCATGATGGAGATTCCTTTTCTTCATCCATATCAACTCAAGACTTGGCCTGCTATAAGATTTCTTGGATTTAATCAGTGTGATTTTCTTTAACTATTCAATCAGCCCAGGGTAAGCAATCTGAATTTTGTAGGTTGGAATCTCCTTAAGGAGAATTGGTTGGTTTTGAACTTCTCATTGGCTTGGTTTACAGTCTTCCCTCTCTAGTAGTCAGGATTTTACTGAAATTTAAAATTCCTGGATATTAGCATTCTCAGCCTACACACACAGTCCCTGACCCCGAAAATCTGAAAAACAGGATTCATTGGAGTAAATGACAGGCCATGTCTCCAAGGGCATAGCCCAAGATTTGTGGCTAGGCCATCAACTTTAAATGTGACTACATCTAATGTATACATTTTTCTATGTCTTTATAGAAATAATAAGCTGGCTTTTATCTTTCTGATATTTTGGACACTTGTGACTATAGATAGCAGATTACAACTCAGCTTTCAAACTAGCTGAGGACTGTCACTGTTTGTTTCACAAGCAATGAAACTAAGCCATTTTGGTAATGTGGCTGCCTCAAACCATTAGAAGAAGTGTATGTTTACCCTTATTTGGCCCTACCTTGGGAAAGTGGTAAGATCAAGAAGCTTCCTCCCTAGCCAGTAGCTGGCCCTTCCTTGTACATAAACAACCTATCTGTCATATCATGTTCTCAGGGCTACTGGTGGTTGTGTGCATAAGTTCATTAGTTGTTGTGTATGGGTCCCCCAGTCATCTGGAGCAGCTGAGCCCCCTGGTTGTATTCCTCACTGAGTTTGGGCCAGTTACTTCCTTCTCTGGACCCTAACTTACCTTTCTGTAAAATAAGAGCAGTCCCTGTCCAGTTCATCTTAGACAGCTGGTATGAGGAACAAGTAAGACCTGGAGTAAGAGCTGTACAGAAATGCAGAAGAATGTGATTGTCTGGCAGCATGTTCTCCTTCCTTCCAGAAAACCTGTTTTATTATTGTTCAGCCTCTTATGTAGGCAGACTTGAATAGGACAGCAGAGTCAAGGTGGAGAGACTTCTGGCTGAAGCTTGACCCACATCTGTTAAAGTTGTATGTACTTTCTTAAAAATTGAGAACCTACAGAAGATATGAGTAGTATTCTCATACAGAAGCTGCAGCCCTGCACATTAGCAGGAGGGGCTATTAGCATCAGGCAGGAGGAAGGCTAACAGCCTCTCTCGCCAAGTACTCTCTGCTAACATTAGTTAGAGAATACATTAGTCCATGGTGTTCAATGACAGCACCTTTACTTGATGGTTTGAGTGAGAAGGGCATGTCTTTCCCTCATATTCTAACCTTATCTCTTAACCCAAATGGCACAACTGCCTGTGGCCTGGTTGAGAAAAGGTATTTTTCTTGACCAGCTGTGATATTGAACATTTTGAACAGGAAGGCAATGTAATATGTAGTGGAAAGAGCATTGGACAAGAGCTTAGGACATCTGGGTTCTGCCATTAAGTAGCTTTGTGACTTTGGGAAAATCACCTCTCTGTCTCAGTTTCCTTATCTGTAAAATTGTTAGATGACCTTCCAGATCTAAGATACTGTGATTCTATGAGGCATAGTCAGCGTACTGAATGAAAAAGAATGTACAGATTTTCTAGGAAGAAGCCACGATAGGACGGCAGGTGTCAGGCTCTCTCAACACTGACACAAACTGGGAATTTAACATAGACTCATGATCATCTCATCCACTCTCCCACTCCCTGACTAGTGAAGAGACCCAGGCCAGCAATTAAACAAAAAAAGTTTTATTTTTTGAAGATCAGAATGTGGATAATCAAAATGCTAGGTAAACAAAAGGACTAACCTTATAAGTAGAAAAGTGTCTCAGGGGCAATTTCTGCGTTGAGCCTTCATGTCCCTCACAAGGACCAAGCTATTAGACTGGAGTTTGGAAAGGTGCTTTAAGATGTAAAGGTCATAAACCCTCATAGGCAAAAGAGATGATCCCCAACCACAGGCCCTAGATCCAACCAACCATGTTTCACCTGGATTCTCTCAGTAGGCTTCATTTGTGGCAGAGAAGTTTAACAAATATACTACCCTGTCCCCACTATTCGCCATCCCACCCTCCTTTCAGTTAAAAGTCCATACCTCTGGGGCAGCTAGGTAGCTCAGTGGATAGAGCTCCGGCCTTCAGGATCCAAGTTCAAATCCGGCCGCAAACACTTGACACTTACTAGCTATATGACCCTGGGCAAGTCACTTAACCCCAACTGCCTCACCAAAAAGCAAAAAAAAAAAAAATCCCTTCCTCTACACACAGATGTCGTCTATCTCCTTGGCCATTTTGAACCATTGTAATTGTCATTTGCCAAGTGCTGGCTTATATCACTAATTAATTCAATTGGTTTATTAAGGAGATCAGAATAAACAGACTCACTCTTTGCTGGGTATTTTCATCGTCTGTTGTGGGATGACAGTTAATCTACATGCAAATTGGTGAACATTAGTAAATGATCAGCCTGTAAATTAGTTTGTTACTTAGCAAGAAAAATGGTCATTATCCTTCACTATTGACCATTGGGGGTACCTTATGGGCCCTGGGGTAACAGCAGGAACCTCCATGACTTATCATCATCAAAGATTTTGTTCTTAATAAAAGGAATCCTTAGAGCCTCAGTGATTAGGAGATCTAGGCTGTCACTCCCACTCACTTCATATAGTATAAAGATAACTCCTAGGTTTGTGCTCAGACCCCCTCTGCAGGAGGAGGAGACTGAATCAGTAACAGTCACCCCAGAAGTCTGTCTGCAGTACTGGAGGATGACCTTAAGGGAATGAATAAGCAAGTGAATCTTTCAGAGGCCAGTGGGAAAGATTCTGTGGTCTCCTCTGGGTTCTGGCAGAGATAGTGGGTTACCTGTAAAGCTCTATCTTCACTCTTTTTCAGCTCCATCCCAGGCAGGAGCACATTTCTAGGTTAGAGCAGCCTGTTTAGCTCATAGGTGTCTCGTGCAAGGAGCATTTTTTGTCTTAGCAGTTTTTGTGACCTGAACATGAGAATTCTGTTTCATGAGCAAGAGTAAAAAGTGTTCTCAGAGCAATGTGTACCCCTTCAGATTGTCCCTTCACAAACAATACTCTGTACTCTAGTTTTTCTTTCAGTGGACACAAATAAACAAAAATATACTTCATGTCACAGTGTATGTCAGCTGCAGAGGTTTTAAAAGGAGCCTCCCAAAGAACTAGATAGATTCATGAATACAAAAAGAGAAACCAACTTCCCACCAGAGAATGCAAACATGAAGTGGGGGAAACATCTGTGCCCAGCCAAAAGCAGAGGGGCATACCAAAAATGGGACCAGGGTGCTCTGAGTGACTGTTGAGTAAGCAGTTTAAATAAAGTCATAGGAGTTTTGATAAAGTTTCATGCTTCGAGTTTTTATTTTTGGTAAAAAAAAAAAAAGAACAAACCAGTGGGGAGAAAGACAGTGTAAAGTAGTAAGTACAGAAGTGTCTTTGGAGTCAGGAAGATCTAGGTTCAGGTCCTGCCTTTGACAAGTATTGGATATGTGACTAGGCAAGTCATGACTTCTCTGAGTACCAGGCAGCTCTCTAAGACTGTATGTTACAAATGAGCTGCCAGTATGCATTAGAAGAGGGAGATTCCACATGAGAAGTTCCCAACATGTGAAATCACAGGTCCATTCTTCCATTGGGGGGAGAGGGGGAGTGGGAAACATGCTATTGATAAAATCTGGAAAATGGAATACCAGCAGTCTAAATTCCCCCAGAACAAGGACTTGGTTTTCCAGGTCTTTTGTATCTGCCATAATGCCTGGCATAAAACTGGCTATATAACATCCCCTAAATACTGATTTAGTGATTATAATGGAAAAAATGCTGAAGGAGTCAGAAGATTAGGGGTCAAGTCTATCCATGCTGCTACTGAACAGCTGTATGACTTTGTATATATCACCACCTTTCTGGCCCTTTGCTTCATCAGTAAAATGACAGAGTGGGATGAGATTCCCAAGGCCAGATAGAGTTATGTGATTCTGCATAAGCTTTCCAGTTTTCAAAGTAGTTTCATATGTATTCTCATTTTGTCTTCACAATAGCTTTGGGATATAGACATTATTAAATGAGATAATAAGCAGAAGATGCTCTGAAAACTCTACAGCATCAGGTAAGTGCAAGGTCAAAGTATAGAAGTGCTCAAGTCAATTATAATAAATTAAAATTGTCATTATAATTGGGTTAATTATAATCA